ACCCTCACCAGGACAGTTAGGGGTGGTGGTCCTGGAGAGTCACCTCCATGAGTTGGTGCAGTGTGAATATCGTAGGCAGCAGCCCATCACATGGGGACTCATGTGCTCTTGGGGAGAGCTGTTTGCATTCTGCAGAGACTGCTGTTTGACTCGATGCCTGTCTTCCAGGTAGAGTTTGTGAGCCCCTTCCCGTGTGTCCTGCCATTACGACTTTGCCACCTCTCTCGCCCGTGTTTATCCTGACCATACATTTCTGACTTTAAAGAATTTATAAAACTTGCTCTTGTCATTGTGGAACTTTTTAGTGTAACAGAATAATCCCGTGGACTCAGTGCCTAGCCTTGACAGGGATCAGCATTTTGTCAAACTGATTTAGAAGTCTTTAGATCAGTGATCATTTGTGATCTACTCAGATTAGTATTACCTGGAAACGTGTTTAAAATGCATATTCCTGCCCCCACTCCCTCAGGCTAGGTGATTGGGATACCTCTCGCTGCTGGGTCCAGCACTGCAGGTGCCTAACAAGCTCCCCAGATGGTGGTGTAGATTCTGAAATTTGAGTACTCCAGCCTTTGCTAAGCATGTGTGTGAAACCATGCACCTGCTGGGGGAACGTCACAGGACCTCCTGGTCCTTCATGCTGAGGATACAGAAACACGGGCCCGAGCCTGAAACTTGGCTACGTGGCCAGTTTGTCACTTTTTGCTTCTGGAAAATAACACATGCTAACAGCAAGCAACTCCAAATAGGACCCAGGGCCTCAATCATAGGACAGTGCATCATAAACCCACAAGTTAATTGGTGAAAAAAAGAAAAGCACATTTCGTCTATATTCATGTGGGTTTTGAGTTCCTCGTGCAACCTGAACTTCAATGCAACCATTTCCTTTGGAGTTATGTTGAAATAAATCTATAAGAAGTCATGATAGCAGGCGTGCGGGGTGTCCCCTTTGGTTGTTTGATGATGCATGCGGGGGATTGTAATCTTTGCAATGAAACAAAATACAATAGGATGAATGTAAAGATAATGTTCTCCCATATAAACTATCACATAATTCACAATAAAAACGTAAAGAAGAAGAAATCATAATGGTGTCTGTCCTGGTGTGGCACTACTGGATAAGCACTAGATCTCAAGGTCAGTATGAACTGCAAGGTGGTTCAAACTCACCAGTTGCTCCTTGGAAACCCTATACAAGGTCACTAGGAGTTGGAACTGACTCGACAGCACTTAACAACAACAACAACAACAGCTCTCTCATGCTGGGTGTGGGGATTGGACTCTCGAGGGATCCAGACAAGTGAAGCATAATGGAATACTAATTTACTCTTCAACCCACCACCCCAATGCATAAGGCTAGTGAGTTCTCATAAGCCTTGTCTTCTGTTTTTTTTCCAGGTTTGGAAGGAAGGCTTCTGAAGAAATAGAAGAGTATGTTTCCAGTAGTCTTATGGTATCCTGTGTTGCCCTTTGTCCCCAGTGCAGTCTTGGTGGTCACTGTCTAGTCAGCCAAAGTTGAACACAGCATTCAAAAATAGACCACAAGGACTTGGCTGTGCTTTGGGGCTGGAATTGTGGTCGTCGTTAAGTGCTGTCGAGTCCGTTCCGACTCATAGCAACCCCGTTTAGGGTTTCCAAAGAGCAGCTGGTGGGTTTGAACTGCCAACCTTGTGGTTCGCAGCCCAGTGCTGCTCCTACAGTGCCACCTCAGGAGTCCAGGGGCTGGGATTAGGCTAATGCTGACCCCTCCACTAGAAGTCTAGGCTCTGACTCTGATGCCCGTGCATCGGGCTGTTGTGTGGAAGAGGGATTTAAGTCCCGGAATGAGAGGGAATTTGTATATTTCCTGTGCTTTATTGGCTCACCCCTCCCTACACACACACACACACACACACACACACACAGTGCTTTTCAGGATTATGCCCTGGTATCAGGATACTAAGGAGCTCTGGTAGCGTAGTGGTTACGAATCGGGCTGTGAACCTTAAGGTCAGCAGTTTGAAACTACCAGATGTTCCGCAGGAGAAAGATGAGGCTTTCTGCTCCCGTAATGATTTATAGCCTTGGAAACCCTGTACAGGGTCGCTATGTATGAATGAGAACCGACTCCACGGCACATACCAACAACAACAATCAGGATACTGACTTGAGGGTGTGGTTTATTGAAATTGATGGGCAGAAACAACCCTAGCTCTCTAAGTCTACCCATCTCCTAATTTTTCTGTTCAAAAGCAAGGAAGGAGTCTAGATATAGGTGAAGTACAAGGGCAGGACCACTGGTTTCCCAAATCTGGGAGGGAACATTCATACCATAGTCTGGGTGCTCCTTTCTAGAACTCTGCACAGACCCCATTACTGCCGGATAGGGTTTAACCCAATTGATGGAAGTAAGAGAGCCCAGGGACATTTTCATGTAGGAGGGAAAAGTAGATGCAGCAGAAATTCTGACCGTTCATTTCTGTGTTGTAAAACTCATTTTCTGATTTCCTTTTCTTCTTTGTGGGAGCAGTCACCGCCTCAGACAGCACAGTCTGGATGGATCAGATGATGGAGGAGGTAAGACGTCCTGGGAGGAAGTCGCCAGGGCTTCCAGAGAGGTCACAGGGCCTTTCTAGGCTGTTGCTGTGGCCTCCGTGTAAACATTCACATGGCCTTATGGCAGCATACTGTTCCATCCCCACACCTCGCTGAGTGCAGTTGCCTCTGTCGGGACACCTCTCCCTCTTCCTCCAGATCTTCCTGCTCAGTACTCAGAACCCAGCTGAAGAGCACCGCCTCTGAAATGTCTTCCCGGCCCATCCCACTCTGTCGAACTCCCATGGCCTTCCTCTAATGCCTACAGCCTCCGGAGCATACCGTAATTCACGCTTCCTGGTGTTTATTCCATGCCATGAGCTCCTGTACCGTTTATATATGCTAGAGCATGTCATCCCCTCAACAATCTGGAAGGTAGGAGCAGTGATTGAACCCGCTTTACAGTAACGGCGTCAAGAGACTAGAGCCAGTATCTGAGTAGAACTAGGAGACGTCACAATGTGACTCTTTGTTGGCTTGATTCCTTTTCATACAAAACTCTAAGCTCCTTGATGACAGATACCATGACTTACTCACCCTTGCATCTCCAGTGGGCAACACCTACCAAAGAAGCCAAACCCACTGCCATAGAGTCATGGCCAACTCTCAGCAGCCATGTAGAACAGGACAGAAGAAGGGCTCCCTAGAGCTTCCAAGGCTGCCTTCTCTATGGAGGCAGCCTGTCATCTTCCTCCCACAATGCAGCTGGTGGGTTCCAACTGCTGACTTTCTGGTTTGCAGCCAAGCTCTTTAGCTACGATGACACCAGGGCTCTATGTGACACATGTTGTTGTTGTTGTTATGTGCCATCAAGTCACTTCTGACTCATAGCAACCCCACTTAGGTTTTCCAAGACGGTATATCGTTATGGGAGCAGAAAGCCCCGTCTTTCTCATGAGGAGTAATGGGTGGATTCAAACCGCTGACCTTGTGGTTAGCACCCTAACATGGAACCCAGAGAAAAGGTAAATTGTGTTGCTTTTTGAAATAAACCTTCTCCAGGGGAGATTATGCTTAGGGCCCAGATGACCCAAGCCTGACAATGATGATTTGTGCCCACAGATTTACCACTCCCATGTTCTTCATTTCCTTATGAGGATCTATGGTTCATTCTGATAGCTTTCTCCGTTAATTACTCTGTTGAGTGTCCTTGAAAGGCCAATGTATTTGTGTTGGCAGACGATGAACTAATTTGATCCACTGGATAATGTTGAGAACTCTTCTTAAGCTTTGTGAAGGTAGATCTGGGGTGTTAAGAAGCGGAGGCTGCGGACAACAGCAGCCAAGGGTTGGCTTAGCCCTCCTCCTGTGTCTCTGCTGAGTCCCCAGTGTTGAGTCAGGCATCATGACTCTGGCTGGGTGGGTGGAACCTCTTCCAGTTCTGCAAAAGTTCTGGAAGTTATTCAGCTGCCACCTTCCTGCTTGTGATTCTTGACCCTGCCTTGTGGGGTCGCATCCTGCACACACAAAGTGTATTATTCAGACTGGATTCCTGAAGCTCGTCTTCTGCCTAGTTACCCTCTCTGCCATCCGCTGCTTCTCAGATTCCAGCCTTAGCCCTCCTCACCTTCAATCCCTGCCTCCTCAACGCAGACGGCTGGACCTGGGTTCTCCTTCCTGTGCCAGGCCCCAGAAGTACCTACCTCCAGGCAGGAAACCAGGGTGATCACAGAGCTCACTTCTTTGTTCCCTCCTCAGGGAGCGTAGTCCGGTATCTGAAAATTGGTGTTTCACATTTTTTTTTTTTTCCAGTTTTCTAGTTGTTTAGAGCGGGAGGGCAAGTAAGGAACCAGCCACTCTGTCATGCTGGAAGTGGGTCCAAATCCTTCACTTAGCTCCTTTGCATGTGATGCCCCAGTAACCTCCTAGGATGGGTGTGAGGCTCAGTTAGGACATTTGTGAAACATTCTGAGATGACAATTAAAATACAGATTCCAAAGCCACTTGTGAACCAGGAGCTGGAGTTGGGACCTAGAAATGCTAGCTCCCTGGATGGACATTTGGCACATGGAATTTTGACAACTCTGGCTGCGGTACCTCCAAAGCCAGGACTAGGGCCAGAGAGGACAAGAGTCCCGTGCAAAATTACTTTGGCCTTATCTCATGTAAGGGGTTTTCAGCTAGAAAGGCAGTGACTTGAGGTCAGGAAACCAGCCTACACTCTCAGGATTCAACATCTTTGCTTTTCCTCTCTGCCTCACTGGCAGTCTCATTTCTCTTGGTCAGAGTTTTCTCTGAAGCGCTACCCACTCTACTCACTCCTTTGAGCTCGTAAACTTCTTCCCCCGCTAATAATCCTCAGTGACCTGATTAGAAAAGGCGCCCTGCACTTTGAGCTGCATTCCTGGACTGAGGGTATCATCTCAGGGTGGCCCTCTGGGAGGATGTACCAAAGGACTCATGAGGCAGGTCCCTGCCAGATACCACCAGTGCTGGGAGGTGGCTAAGGAAGCAGTATGCCTGGGCACTGGAATGGCTATAACTTGTCATCAGAGAAGCAGCAGGAGCTTCTGATTTGAACCAGGGCCGGGGACAGTGGTAATGAAGGCAGGTGGTCTGTAGCCGGAGGGTGGAGGATCCTAACTGGCCTGGCGTGGTGCTTGTGAGTGAGCACACAGGATGCTCTTGTTTGGAGCTGTGCTCACTTGCTTGTGTATTTATTCAGAACGTCAAGAGACTTGTAAGTAAGAGAAACAGTAAATTCAGGGAGAAGACTTGAAAGCTCTCTGGCAAAAGTTCCAAATGGAAACATAGAAAAGGATGAAATTCATCATCTCGAGGATTCACTCAACTGCTATTCTTCTCTGGGCTCATCCCCCGTCTTCCTTATACCTTCCTCCGACTCCCTTCAAAGGATTTCTGAAATCCTACATACTCCCCAGTTCACATTGTGTCAAAATGCTGCATTTCAAAAAGTAAAATCTTTTGTATGCTCGAGTTTGCACACGTGATAACTGCATATCATTAGAGGCTGGTCCTGGCTGCCACGTGGCAGCATCATTTTAGAATCAGATTTCTGCTGCTCAGCTGCGGGGAACTTTGTCAGCTGTTCCACTGAAACCAGTCATTTTACATGTGAAGAAATCCAGGCTTAGAGATTTATATACAGATAGCAGAACTGAAGGAGAAACTCTGGTCTTCTGACTACCACATGAAGGCTCTGCTTTCATGCCAGCACCTCTCGTTACCAAACAGTGCCCAGGCGCCAGCAGCCACGCCTGCACATCTACAGGGCTTTCTCGTGTCACTTATGAAGTATGATTTATATAAGATGAATTAAATCCACTTTATATAATTTTTGAGTTTTGACAGATAGGATGTTGTAAAGTGCCATTGAGTCAGTTCCAACTCATAAAGACCCTTTATAGGGTTTCCAAGGAGTGGCTGGTGGGTTTGAACCACCAACCTTGTGGTTAGCAGTCCATTGCTTATCCTACAACACCACACCAGGACTTCTTGACAGATAAAGGGGCTTCAAAAGGCTTATGGAAAATGGAAGGAAGGGTAATAGAATTTTTCCACAAAGTTTTTGAAGCCCCTTCATATAGGCATCCCACGAACATTCCCATCACCCATAAAATTCCCTCATGTTCTGGTTTAGTCCATCTGCAACTCTTCTGACCTCCTCTGCTTTTTGTCCCCCTACATTAGTTTGCATTTTCTGCAATTTTATGCAAGCAATGTAGTGTGTATGTGCTGTCTGCATCTGGCTTTTGCACTCAGTGTAATGATTTTGAGATTCATCCTGGTTGTTGCATCGTTAGCGTGTTCATTTTTGTTGATATTCCATCATATGGGTGTACCACGGTTAAGTTGTCCATCTAATTGATTTCGATTGCTGAATTATCCCATTTTAAAGATGAGAAGACTAAGCCAAAGAAAGGTAAGCTTGCCCCAGGTCACACACTAGTAAATAGCTGTGTCAGGATTTGAATACAGATCTTGACTCTTAGCCTCGGGACTGTAATGAATGGTGTGGTGTTTAGATTCAATAGTATTTCCTTCCACAAGCAGGTTGAATTCATGTCAGGCCCCAGACTTATGATACAATATGATGATTGGGATGCTTGATACAATTTCAACAAAGAAGGATATCTGTTTTTAAAGAATACCTCTCATATTTTTCCCCTTCATAAGCTTGGAATGAGGAAGTTGTGATTTGGCCTTTACTTTGGCTCTAGAGGTTTAAAGCATCAAACTCTTTCTTGTCGGCGAGTCCAGTAGGCTTCACCTGGGAGAGAGGAGGCCTTCTCCACAGCATAAATCTGGTTCCTGCAGAGTTATGCTTGAGTCCTTTCCTGGGAAATCAGCTCATATGTTACACTTCACACTCAACTTAGTCCATTTCACTCTATGGGAATGTTTAGAATCATATGTTGCATACAGCTACTTTCCGGAATTATCTTTGCTCAGAGAATGACTGTGTTGACTAGCAAAGGCTGCGGCTCCTGTTCACTTAGAATAAACCAGTGTATGGGGAGACTCTGAGGGACTCCCCTGCATCAGCGCTGACGTCAAGCAGATCTTTGGGCACCTACAAGGAGACCCATGGGTCCCAGTGAAGTCACCTTCAGGTGACTTCCTGGAGGTCCTCAGCACTAGGAGCATTGTCACATGCATCTCATCCAGGGGCTGAGAGGTCCCTTATACTTGGAAGTGGTGTGCTTCAGGGAGCAATCCCAAAGGAGGAGATGAATCCCAGAGAATAGAAAGGAAGAGCTAATGTAGGTGTTCTCCTTCCCCTGCCAGCCTTAGAGGTTAGATTTTATGGAGGAAAGAAAGCCAATATAGGTGGAACAAACAAGATGGCGGATGGGGTGGACGTATAGCAGAGAGCTCCGCCAACAACAACACAGAATGCCTGACAAAGCAGGCTCAGGGGATGGTCCCAGAACTCTGAACCACATATAAAGGAATATTGAGAAGGTTATAAGGCTTACAGCTGGGGAATTTGTGGCAGAAGCAAGAAATCCATTGCTTTC